TCAAAAGGTTTAGCCAAGCTCTCAGGCCAAGCAGAGCAGAGACCTGGTAGGCTCACACATCTCTCAGAACAGAATAATTTATCTTCCTCCTCTAGCCAGTCCCTTATTTCATAATATTTTTAGTGCTTCCACTTCCAGCCCTGCCCAACTCTCCTGTAATAGGTCAAAACAATAAAAGGTTACCGAGTGAACAGATGAGGCAGAAGAGGTGGAGGGTAGAGGGGGAAGCAAAAGTCTTGTTTTCTTTGGGAAGTAGGCTAAAGATGGAGCTCAGAAGTACTTTTGACAGCAGGCAGAGTTCTGTATGCGTGAATGAGCTTTCTCATACTCCCAGGTCAGCTGAACAAGAGGAGAAAGGAGACCTCTGGTTTCTCTTCCTGACTACTTCTGCAAGCAGTGCAACACAAGTTGATTTATGTTTCCATTCATGCAGGCCTAAAGTAAGCACATAGTCGCTTACATACTTCTTTCACCTTGCAAAGAACTGACTGGCATCAGAAGATAAAGGTGCACACGCTAATACTTCAGGTACTTAAAGTCACTACCTTCTGTCTCTGAGCTTCATAGCTCATCATAAGTTGTTTCCAACCCCTCCAAACTTTCGGCTTCAACTTTTGAAATCCACCTTTGGCTTTCAGATTGATGAAGTATTGGATTCACTATGAACTCAGATCAGAAATTATGCAAGACCCTAAGAAAAGGCAGAGGCAGAAGCAAGTATCAGTTAACATCCAAAACTCATCTCTTGTAGAAGGCCAGTGAAACTACACTTAGAACTCCCTGGATGTATCAATCTTCAGGCATAATAATTTGACCCATCTTTGTGAAAGATGAGTTCATCATTTGAAAGTCTTGTATTTGATAGAGAACAGAAAGGATTACATACTCTAAAGTAAAAGACATAAAAGGTGTGTTAACTCTTCTTTGCCAACTTTGGAATCTGGGAAACAAAGTTTCCTCCTCTCATTACATTTCTCAGCTTGCTAATGTACTTAAGGTTTGTATTTCTCCACAATCCTAAAATGAAGATTTAGCCTTTTATATTGGATCCGGTGTTTCCTTCCAATCACTCAGCTATTCTGCAGGGCTTTTCAAAGTTTGCCCTCATATTCTGAACTACTAGCATTTTGTTGAACTGTTCCAGAAGAGCCAAATAACAAAATTGCTTTTCAAACATTATTTGGCTTTGGTTTTAAAAATGTGTGTGCCACAATTGCTATTTTTCATACTTAGTAGTGTTATCATATCACCATGGGCTATGGCTGTCTCCTGGACATGTTTGTGCTCAGTGGTCTTGCAATGAAGTCATGAAGCCAAAGAGGGGAAAAGCATGGGGACAGGCGCCACAAAAGAAGAAAACCTATCTGTTTCTGTGAGGTCTTGTGCTACAGTGATTCCTGATTCAGGAATTTCACACAAATACACACCATTCTTAAACCACATCTACACCTGAGTACATGGTCATTCCAGTTTGCTTTAAATATGCATGCAGTTTACATTAATATTTATCTAAATAAAAAGGAGATCTTAAATATATTTACAAACTTCATTGGGAATGTCAATAAACTCATAAGGGGTAGTAGTCTCAAAAAAGAGCTATAAAACTCAGTCTGCCCCCAAAGGTAACTTTTATGCATGGCCCAAAGACATTATGACATGGTTAGACTTCAGTATTTATGAAAACTAGACCCTAAGAGACTTTCTCCCAGTTATAGAGTTCTCCTTAAGGGCCTTGATATAGGTCATGATCTCTCGAGGAACAGTTTTATGGAAGAACGCAATGATGTCAGTGGCCACTCAAATCACTTTTTGGACTCATCATCACTGTAACAACTATCCACATCTTGTTAAACACATACATTCAAAATCTGGAACTAGATTTTTTTCTGGAAATAAACAGAAAGCTGAGCTGGCACACGGTCCTGGGTTGAGTGAGTGGAGAGGTTTTTTGGTGGCAGTGGAGGGGGCTATAGGGGCAGCCCCCTGTGAGAAGCTTCTCAAAGCTCCCCCAGCTCCAAGTCAGCTCCACCTCTGCACCAAAACTGAGCCCATCAGCTGCGCCTCTGCGATAACGTATTTAAGAAGGGACGTGGTGACGAGCAGTGGGACTGGTGAGGAGGAGTTGCTGCAGCTGCGTGAACACCAAGGTCAGTGGAGGAACGGAGGAAGAAAGGAGGGGGGAGGTGTGCCGGAGCAGAGACCCCCCTGTATCCTGTGGGGAGACGGCAGGGCGGCTCCCCCTGACACCCATGAAGATCTACGGGGCAGACACTGATTTGTGGCCTGTGGCTTCCGCCTGGATAATTAGGGTGCTGTGCCCAAAGAAGACCGGGGTTGTGTGGGAAGAAGCAGCCCCCGCTGCTGTAGTTCAGCGCTGGGAGGATTGCAGCATGCGGGGGTGTCCCACGCCAGAGCAGCTCGGGAAGGGCTGCAGCCGTGGGAGGGAATCCAGTCGGAGAAAGTTGGTGACCCATGACAGAGCAGTGTGGGGAACGCTGAAGCCTGTGGGAGGGACTCACATTGGAGAAAGTTTGTGGAGGACTGTCTCCTGTGAGAGGGGGACCACGATGGAGCAGTGTAAGAAGTTCCAGAAGCTCCCCCCACCGAAGATGGAATAAGTGGCAGCACTGACTGCACCCCCCCATTCCCTGCCCCTGCACCACTGGGGGAGGAGGTAGAGATATCGGGAGCAGAGCTGAGCCCAGGAAGAAGGGAGGGGTGGGGGGAAGGTGTTCTCAAGATGTGGCAATGCTTCTCACTGTCCTATTCTGTTAAATTCTGTTAGTGTCTGTAATAAATGTATGTTCTTTTTTAATTCCCCTAACGAGTCTGCCTTTTGCTCGTGACCATAAAGGGTGATTTTCTCCTCCCTGTCCTATCTTGAACCCCAAGCCTGGCTCATTTTGTCCCTTCTTATTGCCAGAAGAGAAGGGGGAGAGAGCAACTGCGTGGTGGTTGGCTGCTGACCAGGCTCAAACCATGACACACACACTTTTGTTAAATTAAACCAACAGCTCAGCACCTTAGTGTTTTTTTAATACAAAATTCATCTTTAGGGACCAATAAATGGACTGAAGACTCTTCACTTCAAGAGAAAAAGATGAAGCCCTCAAATTTTAAACTATAATTCACCATTCTGCAAAAGCTACTTCAAAACCAGTTGAAAGGTTTAAAAAATGGCAAATGTGAATCACAACTTTTGTCATGGAAATGCTGGTTTATCTTTAATGCTGCACTGTCAATAACTATTGTCACCAGAAGCAGTGAAGTGCAAGAATTTGGGTATAATTATCTCAGCATATTCAGTAGTTTAAATTGATCAAATTACATTAACTGATTTTTAAAGAATCAGCTTAAGGAAGTAGGGAGGGGATGTTGGGAAAAAAAACATCAGTTCCATCTTGTTGTGGTTTGAGCCTACTCAGCAGCTAAATACCACACAGCTGCTCACCCACCCTCCCCCCCACTGGGGAATGGGGAGGGAATCGGAGGGGCAAAGGGAGACTCACGGGTTGAGATAAAAACAGTTTAATAACAGTAACAGAATAATACACTGACAGCAATATCAGCAGGTGATGTACAGTCCAGCTGCTCACCACCCTCCGACCGATACCCGCCTGCTCCCGGCCAGCCATCCCAAACACCAAGGCCCCACAGCCACACTCCCAGAAGTGGCAGCCCCTCCTGGCCCACTCCTGCCTTTATATAGTGAGCACAGTGTCACATGACATGGAATATCGGCCAATCGGGGCCCAGCCCTCCAGCTGTGCTCCCCCCGCCCCCACACACAGGTGAGGGCACTGGGCCCTGGGGAGCCCCTGGGGTCTCAGGGGGCTGCAGCTCCTCCAGCAACTGAAACAAACAGGAACTCTATTCCAGCCCCAACCAGGACACATCTGCAGAGTGGAACTGATTATATGTTATGGATGGCTTATGCTCTAGGACTATAAAAAATTGCAGGTGACTTTGGTTACTAGAGGAGCTATCTTTCAGCCTGAATTATTGACATACTTTTGAGTAGTGCAGCTTCAAATATCTCCCTCGGTTTTCTTTTTCACCCTCAAAATGTAAACACTCAGAGCTATCATCCAAAGGAAGGTCACAAGGTTGAACACAGGAACGAGCTATTTCAGTACCTGCAATTCCATCAAAACTAAACTCTTATCTTGCAGCCAGTATGCAGGGGAAAGTTTAACTCTCCTCTGCCATTAGCTTCTCTTCAAATCATTTCATATCAAGAGATAAAGTCCAAACTAAAAAATTATATCCAGAGCCTGTTCCACAGTGAGCAGAGAGGGTATCGCACCTTTCATTTGATGCTTAAGCACCAACGACCAAAAGGAATCACTGCATGGCAGGAAACTATGCAAATAGAATTAAAGAAGAGATAAGGATTCCCAAACATTATCACATCATTCTAAGTGGAGTCTTATAGACTTAAAATCAGGCAATCTAGAATGTCTAATACACTTCATTTCTGTTCCGAAACACACATCATAACAAATACTGAAGGTCACTGGGAGAAAGCAAAAAATAAAATAATAAAAGAAACTATTTTATCTTTGTTATCCTTTCCAATCATACACTAACATACAATCCTTTAGGACATGACCACACTCCTTCCACAGGATCCCACTCCCTTTCAGTACTCTGAATGGACAGTGATAACTGAACAAGCAATCATTAATTATTTGGCCTTATTCTTACTATTCAGTATGAAGTCCCATGTCTTGTTTACTGTGTATTATTCAGAGCCTGATTTGAACAATGAATTATTCATTTGCTTGTGGGTTTTCCTACACTGCTCATCACAACAACATCTGAATGCATTACAAACATTAAGCGATTCACTTTCACATCATCTTTGTATGAGGAAGTGAATGATATCATTGTATAAACATTAGAGAAGGGGGGGCATGACACGGGGATACTAAAGCATCTGTTAATTCCAAGTGCATAAACGGAGACTTTGCAGGGCCAAGTGTCTTCAAAATACTTACATTTGTCACACCATTCGAGTCAGCTTCAGTAGCGCATGTGGATCATACCCACAAGTCTCATAGTAGGCCCCTAGAAAATGAGGAGTACAGTCATGATCCCTAATCACCTGAAAACATTTTGCTTTTAAACTACATCGCACATAAGAAGTGCTGAGACAAAAACATTGACGGTGGAAGGAAATAAATTCTCAGAAGAAGCAGTTACATTGCAGAGGCATAAAAGAAGGTAAACAGCAAAAACTCAGATACCATAGCAGAGGCACCAAAGCAGAATCAGGATTTCTGCCACGATGCTTTCAGAAAATGCCACGTTTCAAAGAACTTCTATCCTTTCTTGGATGCAGGGAGAAACATAGTGGCAAAGGATGAGGAAAATGCTGAGGTACTTAATGCCTTCTTTGCCTCAGCCTTTAATGGTAAGACCAGTCGTTCTTGGGTACCCAGCCCCCTGAGCTGGAAAACAGAGACGGAGAGCAGAAGGAAGCCCCCATAATCCAAGGGGAAATGGTTAGCAACCTGCTACACCACTCAGACACACACAAGTCTCTGAGGCCAGATTGGATCCACCCAAGGATACTGAGGGAGCGAGCAGAAGTGCTCACCGAGCCATTTTCAATCATTTATCAGCAGTCCTGGCCAATTGGGGAAGTCCCAGTTAACTAGAGGTTAGTAAATATGACATCCAGCCAGAAGGAGGATATAGGGAACTAGAGGCCTGTCAGCCTGACCTTGTTATCAGGGAAGGTTATGGAGCAGCCATCACCCAGCACATATAAGACAACCAGGTGATCAGGCCCAGTCAGCATGGCTTTACATAAGGCAGGTCTTACTGGACTGATCTGTTCTATGACAAGGTGAGAGGTTGTGGATGTTGTTTATGTAGATTTTAGTAAAGCCTTTGACTTTATGTCCTGGGTTTGAGTGAGTGGTGGGTTTTTTTGGTGGCAGGGGAGGGGGCTATAGGGGCGGCCCCTGTGAGAAGCTTCTCGAAGCTCCCCCAGCTCCAAGTCAGCTCCACCTCTGCACCAAAACTGAGCCCATCAGCTGCGCCTCTGTGATAACGTATTTAAGAAGGGACGTGGTGACAGGCAGTGCGACTGGTGAGGAGGAGTTGCTGCAGCTGCGTGAACACCAAGGTCAGTGGAGGAACGGAGGAAGAAAGGAGGGGGGAGGTGTGCCAGAGCAGAGACCCCCCTGTATCCTGTGGGGAGACGGCAGGGCGGCCCCCCCTGCCACCCATGGAGATCTACAGTAGAGCAGACATTGATTTATGGCCTGTGAGGTTTTTCGCCTGGATGATCAAGGTGCTGTGCCCGAAGAAGGCCGGGGTCTTGTGAGAAAAGGTAGCCCCGCTGCTGTAATTCAGCGCTGGGAGGATTGCAGCATGCGGGGGTGTCCCACGCCGGAGCAGCTCGCGAAGGGCTGCAGCCGTGGGAGGGAATCCAGTTGGAGAAAGTTGGTGTCACCAGGGACAGTTTAGATTGGATATTAGGAAAATCTTCACCAAAAGGGTTATCAAGCACTGGACAAGGCTGCCCAGGGAAGTGGTTGACTCACCATCCCTGGAGGTATTTAAAAGACATGTAGACGTGGCACTTCGGGATGTGGTTTAGTGGTAGGCTGGGTAGTGTCAGGTTAATGGTTGGACTCAATGATCTTAAGGGTCTTTTCCAACCTAAATGATCCTATGATTTGCTGTCTCCATCATTAGTACACTGCTAAGATTCCTTGGTTTAGATCTCTCATCTTCCTCAGATAGGTGAGCTGGTGCAGTGAAAGGAAGAAGAAATAACACCACATGCTCATTTCACACCTCAATCCAAGTGGGAGAGATCTCAGAAGGGGCACACCACAAAGCAACAGTAGGTGGCTGAAGGGAAACATGATCCAGGTACCACCCTCACCACAGAGCTGGGAGTACACCAAGAGAGTATGCCATCAGAGATGAAAAAAGGCTTGGGACTATGTGCATTTAAGCAATGGGGACCACCTTTAAACTTTACCTCTTATATGTAATTCACTTAAAAACATCTGACCTCATTTAAAAATATTTAAAAACCTCTACATGCTAGTGGTATGTATTTATACAGTTTCTATTATGACAACTTCTTCCACAGTTTGATCCCTTCCCCAGTGTCTAAACCTGACAAAATCATACATGGAGACTGTCTGGCATATTACTTAGCTTTCCAATAAATAGCTGTCCTTACACAGGGTTTACCTTTCTTGACTACGAGTGGAAATAGTTCCAAACTGTGTTAAACCTTCCTCAGGGGCAGGCACGGAGACAGAGCTGCTGCAGTGGAAAAAAATCCTTTCAGAATTACTCTACTACAAAAATAAAGGGGTTTCTGCTTCCATTCCAATATCCTCAGTATTTTCATGAAAAATACAGCTGGACAGAGCATTACCATATGCAGGGCAGCACATATGTTGTGTTCAGCAGCTGTAACCAAACAGGCTGCTCGTTATAGTCCAACGCTGACCTGTTTTTCAAAAGTGACCCAGAATCTGTTCCCAGTTCTGCAAAAGGTATGTTCACAGTCTGTAAGAGGTTATTGGAAGATGCCTTCCTCCAAGCTTTTAAAAACCTGATCCAGTTGCTGCAACACAATTCAAATTATACAGCAAGGAGAAGCGGGTCCGTCCTATACTCAACTCTTGCAGTGTCTTTCATTCCTTGGCGCCAGGTTTTCTTCATGGCTTTCCAGGAAGTCTGGGAAAGACCCCTCTGAATTCAATAATCCCCTTGCATTGGTTGCAAACCCAAATGCTCCTCTGGTCTTTTCAGGACTCCCACACTCATTCATGAAAACAGGGTTCATCGCTAACAGTAGCAGTACAGCAAAGCTCAGTCTTCCTTTCTCATTCCCAAGGTTCTACCGTGACAGAAACAGGTTACTTTGGTTCTGTAGTTCTCTGAGGAAGATGCTTGAAACTGCCTGGGGTGTTTGTCATATAGCTGACAGTACCAGTGGATGTATGTACAAGGCAAGCCTGAAGCAAGGTCTGGCAGGAATTGTTTTCCCCTGTGGGTAGGCAGAATGCTTGGGAGAAGAGGTTGGAAGGAACTGAGCATGGAGACACATAAACCAGTCTCCTGGCCTTTATTTGTTATCATTTGCTTGACTCTGATGCTTCAATTGCTATCAGTCATTAAAGAGGTTGGGTTTAAAAAAAACTACTAAACACTGTTGAGCTTAAGAACCAGCTGTCAGATTACCCTGGCGCCAAACCTGCTGGAAAAGAGACCGCATGGAAGAGAAACACCCACATGGTCCTTTCTGCTCAGGACTTCGGGCTCATGTCCAAGTCTTAATAATTCATATTACTCATTGTAGCTGTATCTTCATACATAATATTCTACCCAGTTTCTTCTCATTACATATTGCACTAAACTAAAACATGTTTTGGCTGAAGTAGACTTACAAAAAAAAAAAAAATTTTGCTTGGGGAAATAAACTTATCTCAAAAATTCAGCTCAGCCTGATTTTAATATAACACACAATTCTGGACAAGCTTTAGGCTTCTTTGGAGACCATATTGATATCTCAAATACTATTTGCTTTTTACATTTGACTGTTTCAGAAACAGAGTAAAGTTGACATGCGTTACCTGTGAGCAAATTCAGGAAGACACCCAGGTCTGACCATCTTCCACCCAGTAGAATAATGTAGAAACTAAAGCAGTGAAAATGAGTTGGGGGTTTTATGATAAGACTGAGATCCCAAAGACTAAAGCCTCTGCTTAAGCTTGAGAGAGAAAGGTGAAGCAGTTCTAGACACAGAGTTTAAACTGGTAACACAAGGGTCACGAGTAGGTAGTTTCAACGGGAACAGATGAGGGCACAGACAAAAAGGACATGAGCAAATACCAGTTCTACTGTAGCTGTCTATGAAACATCAACCAGTTTAGTACATTCAGACAGAAAATCTGCAGCACAAGTATTTGATAGCTATAAGTCCTGTAAAAATTGTTCACATTTGTGCCAAAAACCTGCATTTGCTGTTACTTTATAACCACCTGCATCACACCATTTGTACACAAAAAAATATTGCTTAAGAGAAGTCAAATATCTGGTATGCTGGGATAGTTCATAACATTGTTTTACTATGCACTGGTATTCAGCATTAAAAAATTATTTTCTAACTTACTCTTACCCTGATAATAGCATTCATCTGATTTAAAATATATATCTTTTTATAGATATATATTTTTTCCCTTCGATACGAATTTCATATGCCTATGTTGTTCAGGCTTAGGTTTATGTTATACCATCATATAACTCAAATCAGCTTGTGTTTTGTGAGATAACTTGAGAATATAGGAATAAATAAGGATCTTTCCTTTTTTCTACTTAAATTAAAAAAAAAAATCTATTTGGAAAAAAAGAACAAAACAAAAACCAAAAACCCCACAACACATTAGAATATTTATTTTCTACATTTTCATTTAAACTGATCCACAAAAATCAATTTCTATACTGGGCTACTAATTGAAAAAAATGTTATAGGCAGTTAAAATGTTATAAATAATATTTCATGACTTCTAATAAACTACTTGGTAAACCCTTACATAATATTATGTAAATACATATCTTAAGTGTTACTCAGTTTGAATACAATAATTCTGAAACTGTGTTTTAACATGGAACACAGATCCCACAGCTATTAGAGACTGAGAACACCAGGGAAACTTTACCCTTCCCTTTCCCCCTCTTCAGCTGCTAGAAGATCACTCGCTCAGGCGGGGTTCAAGGAGCAACATCAACCTGCAACCCCAACGGTTGCAAAATTTGATACCTTCTTTTGTAGCTTATTTCCCTCAGGCCAAAATGCTGAGTTTTCACATGAATGGGGAGAAGGGAATAAAAAGGAGACTTTTAGAAGTATGTCTGCCTTGCACAATAAATACAATGAATTGCCATTATCCCACAATAGACAAAAACACCTCCCTGTCCCATCACAAGTTGCAAGCCTGTGGCCCTACTGCGTAAAACCCTGGAGGAAGAACCTTTTCGTCATTGTGAATGTGCAGTAACACTGCTAATCCATGAACATTCAAGCCATA